AAAAGAGTTAGGACCACTACAGGAGACCAACGGAAACAGGATGGGATCTGAGTCCCGAGGCCTAGAATCTCTGAAGCCCTGAAGGCTCAAATCCGAAGCCTTGAAGCCCTGGTACCCCGAAGCTTAAGCTTCGAAGCCTAACTATTATTGAACTGTTATTCAGCTAAGCTCAGACTAAGGCTTACCAAGAACCACCTAATTCTTCGAACAATAAAAACAAGAAATCAATCAATATGAAAAACAACAAATGCAAGCAATAGAAAAAACAAAAAACAAGTGAAACTAGTTGAGGAAGGAGCATTCGGTTCCAAGCACTTGTCTGCGCCCTCTCTTTAAGACATTATCTCAATAACCGGTTATTCTCCCGTTTCAAGCGTTTCAAGCATTCGTATGACGTTCGCTTCCTCCCTACCACCCCGGTGTTGTTCCATTTTCACGCCTAGGTTGGAACTCCATCTCCTTGACTCAAAACCGTTGTGAGTACTATACAAAATAACAAAGCCTGACGCATTGAGAGCAAAGGTATCAGCACTAGCGTGCGCACGTCGATGCAAAGAATTGACTAGTTGGAAAAGGAACATTCCTGTTCAACCTCCTTCCCATCATAAGTTTGGTCGAATGGAGCAGATGAAAAAGACAAACACCAACACCAAACACGGAGAGGCAACAAAGCATAGGACGACAAACTTGATCTTAGTTTAGTGAATAAGCTAGTCACCTCAATATTCCTGACGAGAACCTTTTTGTAGCCACATGGAAGTAAGAATCTCGTTCTCTTGTCTGATCCGAAACCGATGGTGGCATAGCGCGCATTCCTCGGAAGCACCAACGAACGCGGTTATCAATACCCTTTGGCTTACGCCAGTTAGGCTTCAGTCGGTGATACCTGAAAGACTCAGTATGAAAACAGAACAGAAAAGTTTGCTCTGACGAAATGATGACTTTGAAAATGATGATAACATAATCGCGACAAACCTCTCAGACTCATGTCTCTCGAAATTCGACATCTTCTTCTTTACAATTTTCACCTTTGTACCAGAAACGGTCACCATTCTTACCCTGAAAATGCCAAGAAATAAAAATAAATATTAGCAACAGATTACTTCTACAAAATTTTCAACGAAGTACCACGTGAAAACGAGGTGCGAGAGCAACATATTTCCCAACATAGTTTAAAAATACGCTGTACTACTATGTTCCCTTCAGGTACACTGAGATGAAATAAGGGAAAGCGGTACTATTCCACTATTACAACCCCAAAAACTCAAAATTTTAATT